CCGACATGTCAAAGGTCAGGACAATCAGGCGGCAGATGCTTTATCCAGACTAGAAATGAACGTGCTACAGCAGTCTACAGTAAACTTCGAGACGTTAAGACACGAACAAGAGCAGGACCTAGAATTGCAAAACCTACTTAAAACAAACAATTCAAGTCTTAATTTAAAACAATTCCCATCACCTATCGATGGTATTCTAATTTATTGTGACACGACCAAGGCAATGCCGCGACCTTTCGTTCCCAAAAGTATGCGAAAGTTGATATATAATAACTTTCATTCTTTGTCTCATCCTGGCGCGAAAGCTTCGACAAAACTAATCAATGCCAGATATATATGGCCGAATTTACAGAAGGATGTACACAAATGGGTTAGAGAGTGTTCAGCATGTCAGCAATCAAAGATTAATCGTCACACAAATTCACCCATAGGTGTTTTCTCGCAACCAGATGCACGTTTTGCCCATGTGCATATCGACTTGGTAGGTCCTTTACCTCGTTCAAACGGTTTTAATTATCTTTTTACATGCATAGATCGATTTACCAGATTCCCTATAGCCATCCCGATAGCGGACATCACAGCGGAAACAGTAGCCAAAGTTTTCATGCAGAACTGGGTAACCATTTTTGGTACACCCATAACAATAACGACGGATAGAGGAGCGCAATTCGAATCCGAACTATTTAATAACTTGGCTAAACTTCTAGGCTCCAATAGGATACGCTGCACTGCATATCATCCTCAGGCTAATGGGATGGTAGAACGTTTTCACCGTCAGCTAAAAACCGCCCTTATATCTCACTCAAACCCCAATCAGTGGACAGAATTCCTACCATTAGTTATGTTGGGAATACGAACATCTGTCAAAACTGACGCACAGTGTTCAGCTGCGGAACTGGTTTTCGGAACAACTCTGAGACTACCAGGTGAATTTATTAATCCCAATACTAACAGTCAAAAACTTAATTTAGGAAACTACGTAGATCAACTACGGGACCACATGTCCAAACTTAAGCCAATTAATACTCGCGAACAATCGCGTGCCGTATATGTACCTAAAGACCTAAGCAATTGCACGCACGTCTGGATAAGATGTGACAAAATAAAAGCACCACTCAGTCCTCCATTTGAAGGTCCTTTCAAAGTCGTCTCAAGAAAATCTAAATATTTCGTGATAGAAAAACATGGAAACATCGACACAGTAAGTATTGATAGGCTAAAGCCGGCTTATCTAGATCATGAACCACCATACGTGTTGTTAGATCGTTTAACTGACAAATCCATTACGGAATCGAAATGCAAAAACGATAAATCTTTACAAATGACTAAAACGGTTCGCTGGGCACATCCGATTAGCCAATCAAGGATGTTGACAGTTTCAGCTGCAGGATAAAATCTAACCACGTAGCTAATCAGACCCTTCATCTACTTAAAAATAACTTTTCTCCTCATTCCGCCTCACCTACAACTCCCCAGACCTTTTGCCTTTGATATATAAGTGTTATGTTAAATTTTTTTTAAATACTGGACGCATAAGCTAGGTATTCCGAAACGATGGCTGCGGATTTTAATCAAACTCATACAACTAACACTGGCAAATACAACGAATTCAAAAAGCAACCCAGGCGAGTTTTATAATTTCTTTTTCTGGTTAATTAACTATGTTGGCTGTACTTCTTATATATCTATATACATTTTTCACGTAGACTGGCTATACATATATACCATATGAACTACTTCTAAAAGTTTTCGGTCGAAGATGTGTTTAGTAGCTTGATACGCTTAATACTACTATTAATAAGTGGTTTTCTAGACAAAACATTTTGGATTAAACTATGGTCAAATACTTAATAAAGTTCTCATCATTTTTTTTTCATGTTTAGGAAACTTACATAATGACTTAACCAGTTTTCCTACAGCATGCTTTTTAGTGTGATCATATAACCCATCATTATTGGCAATATTCAAAATTTTTTTAAATTTCTGACATTTAAGAATCAATAACCGTGAAGATATAGTACAGTGCGTTACTGTAAGGTTACTATGTTAGCCGCATTGATTCCACATACCTAATTTTAAACACAACTTATAAGGGAACTGTTAAGTAATCACAACATTGAACTAATATGAATATCACAGCTATGCTAACGTTAAACCAATTATTATTAGTGGTCCATACAAAATCCTGGAACTTAACACTAGCGTTATAAAAAACGTGTTATGTCAATAACTTATATATATATATACCTTTTTTTTCTCGTTGGTTTAATTATAACGTAAAATGGAAATCTACCACACTTGTAGTTTTTTTTTCTATAGCATTATTATTAATAAAAACAAAGAACTTGTACTATTCCAATATGGCACTTTGACATATCAATCCGTCCTCCTGTTATCTTTCTCTCATATCTGAGCAACATATGGCCAACAAACATCGTATTGAAGGGGGTTTTGGTGAACGAAAACGCTAGCCCCACACGCACTCGAACCTCTGCCCTCCTGGATGCTAGACCCTGTGCCTAGCCATTAGACCACATCAAACCACGGGCGAATGACTGCAATCTTTCCTTTTACCGATTAATCGTATATAATACTAATGAGTAATAGGACTTACACATTTCTAAGGTGCAGACAAATTCGTTACTTGGATGAATTGACGAAATATTGTTTCAATATATCATACATACTTAGATCAAACCAGAAAAGAGTATTTGACACAATTGTACTTAATCCTCAGAATCTACACAATTTTTTTCTCCTCCTTAACCGTATATTCTTTTCCGTTTTGTGGAGTACAACTATGCACCCTTGGTTACGTACCTGGTTATAAAAGGCGGTCGTCATAGGCCCAAGGTCATACATTTGATCGGGTTTGACAATGAGTCCAACTTCTAGCAAGTTCACCCTCTTACATATATGCATTACAAAAGAGTATTTTTTTTGTTTTCATGGTTTTTCGTGCACAAGATATCTACACTATGTCTATTTTCTTCCAGAATACCAATCCTTTCTGGAGGCCAATCACTTACGTGGAACCGAACAATTATAAATTATATTTTTGTATTTCCATTTTGTATCTTATTATTTTTATGCAGGCAGTGGAGCAGTTCTTCAGGTGTGATTGGTTTTCACCATTACCTTTGAAGTAGATTCTTCTTTACTTTTTACTTGAGGGCGACTAAAGAGGCAGGTGAGTAAACACCTGATAGCCGGTCTGAGCATGGAAAAATCGTACCTCACCAACATGGTGTTGGGTAGCCCGCTCGCGGCACTTCCTCAGATATTCTTATTCCACATTCTCAAACTTTCTCTTGAAAGCACGCAGTAAACCGTCAGCGATAGTTGTAGAATAGATCACATGCTACAAAATAAGATGACAAGCTAGTAAATGAGGAGACATCCATGGACTATCGTTGACAGCGTTAGTCGTCACTGATTGTAAGTCAAATAGTGAGCGAGTTGATAATTTTCCCTTGGGATGAGAAATAGAACTAAGGTGTTTTCGATAGATAGGTTAATCGAACCGACGTTCCTACGGAAGTCGATTCTAGGGGGAAGCTAATGTAACAGCTCAGGTTGGTTGGTTAAGAGTTGACCCCAAACAACCAAGCTTATACCAAAACAGTATTGTTCAAGTATTTATTCACTTCCTTATTTTTCATAAGCGTTATATTCCCTATTATCTTGAATGTTGGGAGCCTTTGTTTGTCTGAACAGATAATCCCACGCTCCACTGTGACTGCGCGAAGATCGAAATAAAGACCTATTCACTACTTCTCTGGTTTCTTCTATCAATAGCACGAGGGTTACCTTAAGGCACGAAACTCTCACACAGCGGGCTGTTGCTGATGGTATCCGGTCAACAGACATTGACTACCTTACGTAGACAATTTTTTATAAAAGTACTTTATTGAGGATGGTTGTAGTACTTCTCGAAGCTTCAGCTCCATACAATAGAACTAACTTGACATTCGTATTGAAGATTGTGACTTTGATATTGGTTGGCAGTTGTTTTGAGTTTCATACATTCTTCAATCGTAGGAATGCTGACCTCGATTCGACAGTACTCGCCTTTAAGTCTGCATCAGATCCTCCACGTTCATCAATGATGCTTCCCAGATAAGTGAAACTTTCCAACTTTTCTAGAGTTTGTCCATCAGGTGTTATTTGGTTGGTATTCCGCGTGTTGTATTTGCGGATGTTGCTTCTTCCTTTGTGTACGTTGAGACCTACTGGTGCGGAGACTGCTGCTACACTAGTTGTCCTGAATTGCATTTGTTGGTGTGTATGGGATAGAAGAGTCAAAATCTTACAATTGATTCCGAGCTGTTCATTGTGTTCCGTGCTTCCCCTCAGATGTCGAGGTCTTCATAATCCAGTCGAACACCAGAAGAAAGAGAAAGGGGGGAGTAGACAGCCTTGTCTGACACCTGCTCTCGGATGTATCTGTCAGCTGTCCTCCATGCACCAGTTTGCAGTGTAGTCCGTCGTATCGATTCCGGATGATGATGACAACTTTATTAGGTACTCCATAGAGTCTAATGCTTCCTCGTTACCAATGAAGTTGATGTATAGTGACCAGGTTCATCCAATTGATTGTTCAACGATGATCCCTCAGTGCAAGACTGATCCTTACGAATCCAGCTTGTTGATCTCGAAGTTGGGCGTCTACTGCATCTTTTATTTGATTCAGCAGGACTGTTGAAAAAATTTCCTGGTACTGGCAGTAATGTGGTGTCTATGTAGTTCTCACATTTGCTAAGATCTTTCTTCGGTATCTTGATGAGGCATCCTTCTTCCCAGTCCGTCGGCACTTGTTCTTCCTCCCAAATCATCATGAATAAGACGTGTCGTATCTTTGCAGTTACCTCTATGTATTATTTCAGTCCTTCGGTTGTTATACTGTCAGGTCTTGCTGCTTTCCCACACTTCATTTTTCTGACACTCATCCTGGTTTCTTCAACTGTTGATGGTGGGAGCTTCTAAACCTTCCTAACGTTATGCTTATAAGCTCCCATAATGCTTCAAATGTAACTCATTCTCCTCATGTATATCAACAGCATCAACAAATTCAATCATTCCATCATGCCCTCCAGTACGTAAATAAAATAAAGAATCGCTTCCAGGGTATACCTGATGTTTACAAACGCTTCCTGGATATCTTGCAGTGGTATCAAAAGGAACAACGTCATTCGGACCCTATGTGCCGCAAACAGGCAGAATTACAGGTTTATCAGGACGTCGCCAAGCTTTTTGGCGGTCAAGAAGATCTACTTCAAGAATTTAGTCAGTTCCTACCTGAATCATTTGGTGTCACAAGTGCTGTTACAGAGACGATAATAAATAGGAAAAATTCCAGCTATTCACAGCTTAGTGGATCTGATGCATTAGATCCATCTGTTCCAGTGCCTCACTTGATAAAACGTGTTTCTGAAGGTATCAGCTTAGCACAATCTTCGTGTAAACAGCGTCCAGGTCAGGAGGGAAGTCCTGCGAATCCTGATGCCAAAAAGTTGAAACGACTTGCTCCTACACAAAGTATATATGAAGATATGCGTGTGTTAATTCGATGAAGATAATCTACTCAACAGTTCCTCGAAGCGTCCAACCCATCTATCACTCTGTTCTTAAATCTCGGTGATCGTATTGCCTCCCTTGTCCTTGACCGGTCTCTCCAATTTACCATATTTCCCTGGTAGTTTCTTCGTTCTGTCACATAGTTGTTTCATATTTTCTTCTCTTACAGCTTTTTACGCTGTCGTTACTAACTCCTCCACGTGTTTCTGCTCGTCAGCTCTAACGCTCTCCTTCACTTGCTTGTTTGCTTTTGTGTGTTCAACTTCCTCCCTGACTTTCTCTGTTCTTGTTCGGCTGTTAGTAATTACTGTCTTTTTGCTCTTCCTTTCATGAATTTTGTCTAGGACTCCAAAAGAGATCCATTCCTTATGATGATATTTCTTGCGGCCAAGAATCTCCTGACACGCTGAAATTAGTGCTCCTCTGATCCCTTTCCAGTTGTCCTCCATAGTAGTTTCCTCTTGGGACCTGTTGCCGAGAGTTATCTCGAATTCGTTGAGTTTGCCAGTACGTCGAATGAACGCTGTATAGAAACTGTGTAGCGCCGTTTGTCCAGTTGTCCATTGCTTCTTTAGCTTCAGTTTCACCTTGGCATCCACCGGTTGGTGGTGGTCTGAAGCTATGTCAGCTCCTCTCCTAGTTCTCACGTCTTCCATTGTACTTGTGAATTTTTAGTGATGTAAATATGAACTACCTAGTTCTCCGTGGTGTGATCAGGTGAGATCCATGTGGCCTTGTGTATGTGTTTGTGTGGGAATATTGTGCCGCCTATAAATCGTCACCTCAGCAGAGCAGCCGATTTTTATTGAAGAGCTTCGTGTGATGCCAATAATGGGAAGATGTGACATTAAATAATTGCATAAGAAGTTGTGAGTCGAATGTTCTATTTAAATACACAGATTACGGACTCCATGTATAGAACGATGATTACTACAGACTCACTAACTTTATGTCTGAATAAGAGCCACATTATTAAACACCAGCTTTTGTGGGTGAAGCTGACGCTTCACGTAGTATTTAAATAAGCGCCCACCATCTTGATTTGATTCGACTTCAGAGAAACTATTTTCTGTTATTTGTCAACCGCTTAACGGCGCCTGTTTTACATATATGACCGAAATTCCATTGAGTCATTTTATTTTCTCTCTAGTCTTTGTTCGCTATGTATAATTTTATTCGCTCCTTATTCTCAGTGATTGAACTGAGTCATCATGTACTGATTTTATTAATCTGTGCTTAAAAAGTTAGAATCGACGGTCACATATATAGGTCACATATTTTGATTTAGGTCTCGCAATTTTAAGGACTCTCGTGGAATATTAATTCGTTGTCCTTAAATACTTATCGAAAAAGAATGAGGACGATATCGAATGAACAGAATTTGACGATATTGGTTTTGAAATCCTTCCATATCCAAGTGCCTTGCTGCTCTTCTGATTCTCTTTCTTTTTTTCTACAGAATCTTGCTCTGAGGGCACAGCTATGGAACTTCTGACGTCTGGAACAAGCTTGACGTACGTGTCTCCCTAAGGTCATGGTTTACAGCAAGCGCTCTACGAGTCTACCTTATAACAACTATAAACTTAATAAATTGGGAAGCATACTGTGCGCCCACAAATGTTGTAATTCATAGATCGTGCCTGTAAAAATGGCATGTACCTGCTCATGCAGAAATATATTATTATTATTATTATTATTATTATTATTATTATTATTAAAACCAAAAACTCACTCATGCTAATACATTTCTGTAATAATGTCGTTCGTGTCACACAGTCATCCAAGTAGCTATAGTACCCGGTTAGTACAAAAGGGTAATCAATATTGTATACTAATCACGAAGTGTGACTTCAACGTTGGCTGTTGGTCACACCAGTTCCGTCTAACTCGAGTGGGCCCCCGGTCATTCAACACACATCATCCCCACCATAATCTACAAGGTTCTCTCCAACGCCACACGAAATTTTCGAAATTTCCACGTTGAATAATTTACGAAGACACTCCAGAAAAGTTCACGAGCCCAGAACAAATTACTGTCAGCTGATTATTGACTTTCCCATGGAATCATAAACGAGTGGAATCCAGTACCTCAGCACATAGTTGCGGCTCCATCCATCGACTCTTTCGAAAGAAAGTTGGATCAACTGAAAGACCATCATCGCCAGGACTAACACAGGCCGTCAAGCCCTCTGTCCTCTCCAAAACTGAAACTGATAATAACCTCGATTATCCCTTCTGACTACAGCTATCCGTTTCTTTTAGAGTAAAAATGTTGATGGCGGCAGCCCACTGTTGCGATCGCCTCGTGTGGTTATATTCATTGTGTGCCTACTGAAGCTTCCGTTACTGCCTTGTCTTTGTTTAACAAAACACATTCAGGAAGTGTGAGTATGAAGGTGCCGTCACATATGCAGCTGTTAATGAAAGAAGAGTCTTCAGTTTGAGGTTGCTGAGACTCGTATTTCACCGAAATCACTATCTACAAACGTTAAACCAATGGTCTAGTGGTTAAGCGTTCTCACGTGAAACTGAAATTATTAGTAGTCATTTACTGGGACGAAACAGCTGTTCAATGGTTGTCTAACATCAATCACTTCATGATTTTAATGAAAATAAATTTGATAGAATTGTAAGTGGTATGATGAAGGGAACTAATATCACTATTAGGAAAGCAAATGAAATTCTAGTCTTTTTTCGAACGACTATTCCCGACTTCTCGCTGTCTGTCTGAAGTGTGCTGAATAGTTGCCACAATGCAGAAGAAAAGTTTCTACACATGGAGATGCTCTACCATGACAGACTGAAGTCGGATCTTTTTAGAATTTCAGAAATTTGACTACGTCAGGTCAACTCAGGAGAGCCTAAATTACAGCTTAATTATAGTGGCCTATGTGTGTCTAAAAATTCTAACCAACAGTCGTGGTCTTCCCTAGGTTTTCCTGTAGATCTGCAATACAGTGAAGCATTCCTGATTGGTATCTGTGGTGGCAAAAGAAAACCATCCGATCTCAATGAAATATTCACAGTTTTTGTAACTGAGTTACAAGTGTTGCTGACAGTAAGCCTTAATGCCGGTAAGTGTCGAGTGAATCTAACGGTGAAGTCACTATCATTTGTGACAGTACTCGTAGCAGTGTTATATATGTCATTGGCCACAACGGTTCAGTAGGCTGTGACAAATGTTTTAGGGACTTGCCTCAGTAAGTGAAAAACTCTTTCAAAGTTTACAAAGTCTAATGAATCAGAGCATATAACGTTATTTGAATGAGTAATGGTTTCTCGACCGAAATCATCACATTCAGAGACTCGAGGTTTTTGATTACTAGGCCATCAGACAGCAAACTTTGAACCTCGATAAATCACACGAATGGTTGAGTGTGGTAGGGTAAGGTTTTGTCCATTCAGTAACCTTTGACATTTCTTCACTGACCCGTTTTCCTCCAGTGCTATAGGTATATTTAAATGATCTGCGTCAGCCACGACCGTACGTGGATTACCATGACAGTTTTACTTTGTAATTGCATCTCAATCCCAACGGAACATTCTGAGGTTATTATTCCCGTTTTGCATACATTCTCTTGTATAGGGTGATATCATTCACAAAGGCTGGTCGCATATATAATATTTCGGTGCATTAGGTCTGCACGTTGGTCAGTGCTTCGGCATAATTACCTGTAAAGCTAATACGAATGCTGTATGTAGTAGTTTCGAAGTTTGAGACGCCTTTGCCATGATTTATAGCATCAATCCAAACAGTAAGTCCTGATCAAAGACAAGGAACAATAGCACATTTTAGTCAGTCCTGGAGACTGTCTGATGAAGGAGCAATTGGTTATCTACGGGAACGATATTGTCTTTACAGATATTCTTGATCTCATAGATCCCAATGGTCACCATTCCTTGAGACTGTGCGACGTATCGCATCATTATGGTAAGTTGTCATCAACTAGAACTAATTGCTTTCAGATGACGAACCAGATAACTAAAGAGTCAAAGAAACGAATTGATTAGAATACAAAATTAATTCGTTGTTAAAGCTGTGAAATGAAAAATCAACGACTTATACACTTCTAACGAACTAGAGGTTGCTAAAATTTAGGCTGGATTTATACTAATTGAAATACTGACTGTGAACATTTTGACTGGAAACCATTCGTTAATAGGGACGTTAGATCCTCAGAACTCACTTAGGAAAAAACCTAATTTTGTTATTTAATTTAGAAAATTTGAATTTCTTTGTTTTCGCGCCAAGGGCGCTCTTGTCACCATGTCGTATTTCCCACTGGGAAATATCTTAAATGCTATTGGTCCGCTGTGTCTTTTAGTATGCTATTTGGTAACTCTCCACAAGGACGATTTTGCACTGTATATATACGTTTTGAATTGTGTTTGTTATTATCGCTTGTTTCTGGCTGTTTTACAGAATATACTTCCCATTCCAAGCTTGGACTTCTCCTTCTAGTTAGCGTGGCTGGGACGCATCAATAGCTAGCTTACTGGTCTTTGGTCACTGAGCCTTGTTTCTCATTCACAGATTAAGTGAACTTGGGATAGCTTCAACCCTTGCAGATTTGTGCTGATTGGATTATTGACTGTGAACATTTTGACTGGAAATTGTTCGTTAATAGGTAAGTAAGTATCTATTGATCACATGCTCATAAGGTAATTCATCAAAAACAGAGGTGTTCTAACAATTACTTCCATATTCTTCTACGGCTGCTATTAACGAATACATTAGTCATACTATACCTTGTGCCAACAGGTCGCCCACTGAAGATAACAAAATATTGAAAATGATTTGGATGCAAAAGCTGATCTGCCCAGCAAGATAGACAAATTGACTGCTTACATCGGAAGCGTATCAATCGTTGTGAAGGAAAGGTGTGGAGGGAGCATAGAGACTTGAACTTTCACATTCCCATTAAAAACACCAGAAGGAATGCGCATTGTCTAAGTTTCATTGGGGGAACAAATGTATCGTGATTACTTTGTGAGT